CCGGCACCAGCATCAGCACCAAGACCATCCCTGGCACTGACACCATCACCAGCACCGTCACCAGCCCCAGCCCCATCGCCATGCCATCACCGGCACTGGCACCACCACCAGCACTGTCCCTGGCACCACCCCAGTGCCATCACCAGCACCGGCATCAGCACTGGCATCGGCACCAGCATCGGCACCAGGCTTGCAAAGCACCCAAATATGAAGCAAACACTGGGCACAGCTCTCACGCAGCAAGACAGCGATCATTGCCAGAGCCCGCATCCACCCATGCTCCAACACCACTGTCCAAAGTGAATAATAATCAAATAACCTGTAACATGTCACGGAGGAAACGGAAATCCCACTCCATGGATCCCAGGATGAACTTAGGGCGCTCCCTCCTGCAGGACAGGGAGCTGCCGTACCGACCTGTAGATGAAGCCAAGGACTGTGTTTTCTTTACGAGCCACACAGCAGCACTGCCAGAGCACGGGGAGGCAAGCCAGGGCTCCCAGCTGCACATCCTCCTATGCAGGACCATTGGGACTGCACTGTGAGCAGACATTCCCAGCTGGTATGGAGCTTGGGTTATTTCTTGTGAGGGAAGGCAAACAACAGCAGCCAGTAAAACCCTCCTGCACAGCTAGATTTGAGCATCCCCAGCTGTGTTACTTCCCTGGCGCATAATGTTCCTGTGTTCATTCATTGTTACTGTCTCATTGACTTACCTACCTAATTTATAATATATAAACCCTTTAATCTATGGATTTGGGCATCTTACAGAAGAGCAGCAGTGTGCAGGGGAACCGGTCAACAGCACTGACAGCCCCTAAACCTGGGACCCTTGCAGCCTACCTCTTCCCAGGAGGCACTGGATTTGCCCTGGATGGAACTCAAGAGTATATTTCATCCCACTTGACTTATGCTTTTCTCAGGTTCGATAAACTAGAATCCTATAAAAAGAAAAAAAAAACCCACCCTGATTCCAGTTGAGTCCTACCTAGTCTGGTATCTTATCCTCCCTTTAAAATGCTGACATTTTCCCCTTCCACTTGTCCCCTGCGACCACCGCACCCCCCAAGGATCGTGATTTTGCATTTTTCCCCCCAAACAAAGGCTTTCTGAAAGCAGGAGGCCCTCTGGCTGCCTAGTGCTACCAGCGCTGGCTCTCCCTGCAACCCCCTTCAGCCGAACTGTGTTCTTCTCATTAGCATTAACGTGAAAGTTGTTCTCCCCATATACATCCTGCTTACTATCGGCTCTAACAGGAGGAACTACACACCGAAACACCACCACCCAGGCTGAAATGAAGCTCTGCTGTTTTCGTGCTATTGCTAGTATGTCCTGACCAGATTTATTAAAACCATGAGCCAACCCCTGCCAGAAACAAGAGGCATTGCTTGCAAACAAGCAGCTTTGGTGATTATTCCTCCTGCCTTCTCCTCTGCTGAGCTGCACCGAAGAGGTACCTTCCGATAAGCAACATGTCCGGCCAATTATCCACAGAGATTTTTAGCTGCATATTTGCTCTCCGGACTAATATAACCCAGATGTGGGAAAAGCATGGTTTTAATCAATCCTCCTATACATCCCATGACACTTGGTCACACGTGCGTGCGTAGGTATGTGCATCACCCAGTGAAATAACCACACATAACCGTACACAATTAATAAGCTGGCCGTCACACTGCTTGCCTTCCTTTTATGGGATTTTAGTGCTGCCTCCAAACTAGTTCTGAAAACAGAAAGTCTTTGCATTTGCAACTGAAACAAGGAATTCATGATTACAGAGCGCTCTTTCCACAGCTACCAAGGTTTTCATGAGAGATTGGCATGACTCTCAAGTAGTTTCACTGCAGGTAAAAAGGGAAAATGTACTGTCCCTAGACTGTTACGTAAAAGGGAAACAGAGGGAAATCAGCGTTCCCTCCAGCACGTGGATGGCCATTTAAAAGGGATGCACTGCTAAAGCCTGTATTAGAATCATAGGATCATAGAGTCTTTTAGTTTGGAAAAGACTTTTAAGACCATCAAATCCAACCGTTAACCCAGCACTGCTGATACCATCACCAAACCCTGTCCCTAAGCACCTCGTCCACGCATCCCTTAAATCCCCCCAGGGATGGTGAAGCTCTGGTGCAGCCCCCGGTGCAGCTGTGCCGCTCAGCAGCCATCCCAGGCCTTTTTTTTCCCGAAGCAAGTGCAAGGTCACTCACAAGTGCCCCAGCGAACAGCCCAGGACACAGCATACACAGCTACTTCCTGGCTCCGGTGACACCCCAGCTCAGATGCTGCTCTCAGTGCAGCGAGCAGGGGCAGGTTTGCCCCCCGGATCGTATTCCTCCAGTATGGATAGCCTCAACATCAAATCCCGATCCAGAGAGCTGAATAAAACAGTTCAATGCTCCATCAGTTCACACGGATTCCCAGCCACGCCAGTACTTGCCGTATGGCAAACCCTTCCCGTTACCAGCCCCAGCCAGGCTGAGCTGCCCCTCACCCACCAGCTCAGCCATCCGAGGGTGCTCCTGGGCGATTGCTGCCAAGACCTTGCTCTCACAGGGGCGAACACATCTCAGCAAGCTCCCCCCTTCCCTCTTCACCCGCTCCCTTAGCTGAGGGCCACCGGTTCTCCCAGCCGGCGCGGTGCGGAGAGCAAAGCCACCTCATCCCTCTCCTCGCTGGAAATGCATGCCAAATGCACGGCACCAACACCAGCCGCCTCGCTTTCTGCTTGCCAGCTTGTTGATCACATGCACAACGGGCAAGAGTTTCAGCCTAGCAAATAAAACATTAAGGACCTGAAGATGATCACAAACCAATTCTCATCAGTTAATGAAGTAGATTGTATTCCTTTTCTTTGTCCCCAGAGAGCACTGGTTCTCCTTTGACCCTGGCTAGGGCGATTCCAAGACGAAGCAAGAGTATCTCACTTCCAGAGAAGAATGGAGTAGCTGCTGGATTGGAAGCAGGGTCTTTATGGACAATTGGAGCCTAACACTACCCGTTAGCAGACATTGACCTGCCCTGGGTGCAGGACTGGGGTGATAGTGAGGGGAAGCACAAGGCAAAGCTCAACACAGCTTGGGGAAAACAAAACAAAACAAAACACCAAAAAAAAGGCATTTTCACATCACAGACTCTAATTCTGAATTACATGAGAGGTTAGGCGAGCCTCACACTGGGACCTAATTAAGTAAGGTGCAAAACTACCAGCTGCTTTGATTTTTTCAGAAGGCTGAGGGTGGGGGACAGGAGGGCAACAGTAAACAAGATTACTCGCAAGTTTGGTTTTCTTGGCTTTTTGTGCAGCAGATTCTCTTTCTCACATTAACTGCCTGCTATTCACTGATTTTCTTAAAAGAAATAGTGTAAGTCCAAAGCCCAGTAATTTAATACGATTGACAAAGGGCTTCGTAGGACTTGCTGCTTCATGACGATGATGTTCACCTTGCCACACCTACTGTGACCACTACAGGCTGTCTGTGGCTGGAAAATATAGGAACCAGGCAAAAGAGTAAATGAGAACAGAATCAACAAACTACAACGTCCAAAATACACCAGAGCGATGTTTTCAAATGGGAATAGCTTTGTTGTTGTTGTTTAAACAATGATGATTATTCTTACTCTAATTCAGCTTCCTCTTTGAAAGTCCTTTCGCAGCTTCTAAGCCAGCCTGTGCAGTACCCTGAGTAAACAAGGGAGGATTAATATTCCACTGCGAGCCTTCAGAGCCAATCTTTCCCCTAAATTACCCTTTTATTTTTCATTTAAAAGAAAAGATTCTGACCATTGCAGGAAATACTTCTATGTTTCAGCTTGCTTGGTATCTGGCCCAATGGAAAACCTACCCCGAGACCTCTGGTTATTAACTGAAATCTTAAAATAGAACTATAAATATTCCAAAATACTTCTGTGTTTACTTATTATCATCACATTTCCAAACTACTTAACAGCTGCAACACTGTTTTCTTAACGAAAGGCAGCCCTAATGAACTTAAGACAATACTGACAGCTGAGAATGCAACTGCCATTTGCATCTTGTAGAGTGATTTCCCCTCTGCAGACTACAGCAAAGAGGACTTTTATTTACACCATTTTAATATCTTTTGAGCCTGAGAGAATAGAAAAACAGAGTGGTAATTTCAAATATGTCGGCACTATCTGCAAAGAATTCTATAAAAGCACAAAAATGAAGATTACTTGTTTTTTATATTTTGAACAGTAATATAAAAAATATTACATTGCTCCGAAAGTCAGGTAAGATCTGTGTTGACAACTACAATTCTTTTATTGGGCATATCTTACTGAGCACTGAACAGTTGTTTATGTGGGCGCAGGTTTAAGGATAACACCACAAAATCAGAAGGATAAAGTGCAGACCTGTACTGAGAAGCAGGCCTGGTAAGTCAGTCTACTCCTACAACTCAGCAAGAGAAAAGAAAGGAAAGGGGGGAAAAAACTGCCGTTATAAGAGAAGAAGAAGATTATAAATTACATCCTGTGGTAACAGAGCTATACAACCTTTCCTGCAAGGTCCAGAGCACCGGAAAACCCATGTTCCCCGTGTACAAGCCCACCGTGTTTGTCGCAGGAAATATTTTAAGTTAGACTTTGCCTTACACAAGTGGTTTATTTATAAGAAAACTTAACAAAGGTGTACTGATTTAAACAGTTCTCAACATCATTTCTTTATGTATTTCAGAATTATATTTCAGAATAAAAAATTAGGCTCTTAAACCCAGGTAACCTCCCCTCAACACAGTAAGTTTCAGCCAACTGCGACCAAGAAAGAGTGAAAGAGGGAAGCCACTGTGAGTCGTGACTCTAAGCGAGGGTCTTTGCCAGAA